CCCGAGGGGAAGGGCTGGCCACCGAGCGGCCAGAACTTGGGCAAGCGTCAGCAGAGGAAGCGTGCAACAAGATGTTTCTTTCTTAAATAAATAAAAGTAAATGCAGATTTTATCCTCCCCATAGCATTGTTTTTGTTAGTTCCTCAAAGCATCGAGCCTAGAGGTCTCTACAGGACCGAAGACGGCTCCCTCCTCCAGCAGCGCTGGATTTTTAATGCAGATACTGGAAAGGAAGAGCAGCCAGTAGGAAGAGATGGCTCCACAACACTGCTCTTGGAGCGGGTCTGATGGGGCCATAGCAAAACACGCTATCAAAGAAAGAATCCGAAAGGCAACAACACCCCACCCCGGGAACCGCCTCGGAGCAGCCAGACCAAGGCCAATACTCCCATTAGCCAGAGGAACCGCTGCAACGCAAGCCGCCCATATATCCCCGACACCCGCATTCCTCAGAGGAAGGCTCACCCGCACCCTCCGCACGGGCAGCGCCCGGAGAGGGACACGCGCAGGAAAACCAGCCGCGCCACCTGCGCCCCGGCCCTCTGCCCCGGGGCCGCCCGGCGAAACTCGGCTCCCGGCAGAACGGGAGCAGTTTTGGCACACCATAGGAAAACAAAAAGGAGAAGGCGGAAGGCGGGCTTGTCCGCGGTCGGAGGCGCCCCGCGTGCCGGCCGCCCCCGCCCGGCGGCACCCGCGCTCCTCCCAGCGCTGGCGCAGAGCAAAGTCCGCCAAGCGGCGGCAAGGCCGCCCCAACCCTGCAGAAAACAGCAGCTACAGTGAAAACCGGCAATAAAACAAACACAAGAATCTACAGTTCCTGCCCCACTCCCCCATTTTCGCACTGAGCCCCACGAGCCCCTTGCGGTGCCCGCAGCTCCCGTTCGCTGCGATGTCTCCCGTTGCCAGCAGCTTTCCTGCGTAAGGAGAGAGGGGCCGTTGGCCCTGGCCCCGCGACGAGGCCACTGCCAGATCTGCTCCGCCGGGTCCCCCGCGCCCGCTCCAACCCGCCCCCGACAGCACCTCCCGGATGGCGGCTCCCCGCCACGCGCCGGCTCCTCCATCTGCTCTGCGACAGCGGCGGCCTCGCGCGAGGAGCAGCGATTACTCACTTCTCGGAGGGAAAAAAAAAAAAAAAAGTAAAAACCAAATAAATAAACAAAGCCAAAGCACTGCCCCCCACTCGCTTCTCTCCGCTCCCCCAGCCCCTTCCAGGCAGCACCTTTGCTGCAGCATTAGGTGGGTTCACGTCGCCATCTCTCTTCTCTCCCCTTCCTGACTACAAATTTTTTAAAATCATTTTTATCGAAAGCAGATTAACAAAGTGACTAATTTGCGGCTCCTGTCCCATGTGATTGGTCTGAAATGGGTGGTATGGATGATTCATAGAGCTTCTTTACTGAATTTCCTAACTGGGAATTGAAATTTCAGATGCCAACAAGAAAAAAAGAAAAAAACAAAAAAAAGAAAGAAAGAAAAAAAGGCCTCCAAGGGCTTACAGCATTTTTCCCCCTTTTTTTCAACATCTTGATTTCAATTAGGGGGAAAAAACACAAGCCCCAGAAGTGTTCGAACGGCATCTGAACCGCACATAAATCAGGGCTGCTTTTAAAAGCTGGAGCTTGAAGCCAACTTAAAATTACCTTGATTATAAGGAGACAAAAAACAAATCCATCAGTGCTGCTGCCTAGCAAGGCCTTTCGCAGCGCCCCTGCAAAGACACCTTGGCCAAGAAAACACAAACGCGTCCCCTCATCTTGCAGAAGCCCAAGCTGCCCCATCGGCCTCTGCTTCCTCCCGGCACAAAGATGCTGAAATTTCACCCGCGGCGGTAACGTGAGCCGGGGGCAGAGCCCGGCGCGGGGGCTCCCCAGCCCTGCTGTGGCACCGCGTGGCGGGAGCGCCGCTCCGCAGACCCCAGAAGGCTCCTCGCGGCCGCAGCA